ACGGCGAGAGGGACATGGTGTCAAACATCTGGACATCAGGTTAATGGTTAAGAGTAGCGGGTTCATGGCACCTTCGTGATTTGGACCTAATTGCCCTCTGCTGAGAAATATTTTGTTGGAGGGAGGAGACCCACTGCTCCCCAGAGTTTGCCACCCAACCCCCAGGTTTCGTGGTCCACAACAGGGAGCCCCATGGGCAATTAGGATAGACGTCCACTTGAGTACGGGCTAGCATACAGCCATAGACATCATATCCCCTCCACGCAGTGCCTGGTCCTTTACAATTAACTACTTTGTACAAATCAAACTGGTAAGTGGTCGTGGAACCACGGACATGGAGGATCTCAATGTGACTGCCAGATTGCTTTACGCATCGATCTAATCCCGCACTGGCTGATTTAGGAGAAGAAGGAACCACAACTACTGGTGCACTGGAATGTTTAGGGCCAAGAGGAAGGAAGGCCAGTGGTGTGGTTTGTATGTCATAAGTGGGTGAACATGGTGTGGTGTTCGTAACATGTGACATTTAATATGGATTGCTGTTTCAGAGCAAGCAAATCAGACCATAGCAAAGGTGAGTCAATCAGGAAATCAAACACACCAATAACACATATGATCTTATTCAGGTCAGGTGGGCCCCCGTATGGACGGCCCAGGCGTCTGTACATCGTGGGGAGGAGGTCTTGCACCTTTTCTCCCTTCGTTCGTTGGGTGGTGGCTTGGCACGCCACGTGTCAGAGGGTGAGCACAACTCTCACCCCCTTTGCAGCACTACTGGGCTGTCAGCTTCTTCAGTGACCTAGGGTAGACTACCCGGTCACTAGACACTGAGAGGATTATTCTGCCTCTTTACCAGTGCCTTTTGAAGACTCAAGCGGCGATGTCTGCTGTTCCTCGATGTCCTCGGTCTCTGCAGTGTGGCAGAGGTGGTACCAGGTGTCCCCCTTTCCTTTTAGGCGGACAGCGTTGTGGGTTCTTTCAGTCACCAGGAAGGGGCCAGTCCACCTGGGCTCGGTCCACTTCCTCTTAAGTACTTTCAGCCAGACGTACTTGGCCCCTGTAGGCGCTGGGCGGATGTCAGCTGAACCTTCTTCTGCCGTCTGCTGCTGGAATCTGAAACAGTAAGCACTGATAAGGTCAACAAGAGGAAGCTTACCTTTTCCATCGCCGGAGATGTCCAGCTGTCCAGATGGTCCTGGGAATGACCTCTGCGTCTGTAACTCAAAAGGTTAAAACCCTGTCTGGGAGTTTAGAGACATACTTGTAGACATTAGGGCGAGCGGCAGGGCTTTGAGCAGCTGGACAACGGCTGCTCTCTTGTCGCCTGACTGTATCTTCAGCCTATCTGCGTTCTGATTTCAAGTGGTCATCTAAACTGTTGACCAAAGCTTTAAGTTTGGTCACTAGGACTCCCTTCGAGCCAAATTTATGTTTGAGCCCAAGCATCTTTTCCACCTCACCTAAGTGGTGGTTCTTGAAGTGAGTGCCATTGTCTGATCTGATTAGTCTGGGGATGCCATGTGTTGGAATGTAATGGTTCACTAGGTGTTTTCTCACTGATTTCACAAGGTCCTGCTGTTATGTCAGGTTGAGGTTCGGGTATGTCAAACTCTTCAGGAGCGCCGGGATTCACAGACACTGTCACGCTGCCTTTGTTTGGGTCATCGTCCTGGTGTCGGTTTAGAAGTCGGTTTGACATTGTGTCGTTTACACACGTCACATTTAGACAGTCTATCTGTGCAGATGGATGGAAGGAAAGGGTGCCATCAGTGTTTCAGTCTACGTAACACTTCATGTTTCCCTACGTGTGTCGGTCCATGTGCTTCATCAATCAGTGAGAGGAGTCGCCTCTGTGATGGTACTGGCTTACCGTCTTTTTGCGAGAGTCCATCGCACATCACTGCTCCCTTCTGTTTCCACATTGATTTTTCCTCTGGGGAGGCTTCTGCCTGCCAACCGTCGGATTGCTTGTATGCCTAATGTAGGTGCTTCCTCTGAAGTCACCATCATTTGATTTGTCTGGTTCGGAATGTAGCCAGCTGCATTCTTGGCTGCAATGTCAGCTGCCTCATTACCTTTTGAGATCCAATCACTACCGCCTGTGTGTCCTTTACATTTCACCACAGCGACTTCAGTGGGGAGCAAAAGACATCTGTGTAATTCTCTGATGTCGTCTAGGTGTTTTATTGGTTCTCCTGTTGCTGTGAGGAAATCAGTTCTTTGCCATTCTTGTAGGGTGACGTGGATAACTGTACATGCATATGCTGAGTCAGTGAAAATGGAAACCCTCTGTCCTACTGCTTGTTCTAAGGCTTTTGTGAGGGCTA